GTTTCAAAGCCAGCCGGGCCTCCCTAGGGAGTTCCAGGCCAGCTGGGGCTACAGGGAGACCCTGTCTCAAAAAGACCAAAAAAAAAAAAAAAAAAATAAAAAAAAAAAAAAAAAAAAAAAAAAAAAATTAAGGTTCTTGTAAGATTGAAGCAAACTATGTCCTAACTGACTTTCTTTTCTTAAAAACAGTCAAGTGGATTATCGAGCAAAACTCTGGGCTTGCAACTTTTGTTACCAAAGGAATCAGGTAAGAACATGCCCCTTGTAGATGCTGCCGGTGTAGTGCTTGTCATGTAGGGAAATGCTTGTTTTAAAAGACTATCTTTCATTTAACAAAATACTATTGTATTTATTGTGTGGGAGTTAATTTGTTAATGCATTTTTGTCTTTGTTTGTAGTTCCCACCTACGTATGCTGGAATATCTGAAATGAATCAGCCTGCTGAACTTTTACCTCAGTTTTCTAGCATTGAATATGTAGTTCTGGTAAGAACAAAAGAGCAAATATTTAAAAAAAAACTTTATTATACAAAAGTTTATATCAAAATAATTGTAAAACTTGAAATGACTTTAAAGGCATGACAGCAAATAGCCTTGAGCATTTTAAAGGTAAGACCTGTGAAGTCAATTTGATTAAGGTAATTTCTGATTGTTGTTATTTGATGGTTTGTCAGATATGGGGTAGGATGATACGACTTGCTACATTGAGTAGATCAGTGATCAGTGAAGTGTCAAATTCATTTTGGAATTTGAAGGTCTGTTGGCACATACTTACTACAAGGCTCAAGCTGCTATTGTGCCTCTGAGTTTATGAATGAACACAGCCTTGCATGGGAAAAATAACCTGTATAAACACATAGTTGTTTATGTGTTTAATTGTGGGGAGCTGGGTACGATAGAACACCCTTTAATCTCAGCACTTGGGAGGTAGAAGCAGAAGAATCAGGAATTCAAGTTTATCTTTGTCTACATAGTGAGTTTGAGGCCCATCTGGGCAGGATGAGACCCTGTTTTAAAACAAGAAAAAACAGGAAAAGTGTGGAAATGAAAATATCCTTTATGAATGTTGCATAGAAAACAGAATTTTTGGGTTCACTTGAACTAGTCAGTAATTTGTCAAACATGGCTAGTTTTTGGTTTTCAGAGAATTTATCTCAGGCTTAGATAATTATTTTATAAAAATTACCTCATTATTTACTTTTAAAACCTTTATGTTTACAGAAATAAACTCACATTAGTTAGTGCAAGGCAATTTAACTTATCCTTCGTGTTTTTGACCAAAAATGTGGTACATGGCTTATGATTCTAAAATAATTTTTTTGTTTTATTATTTTTATTTTATGTATATGAGTGTATTGCCTGCATGTGTATAACTGCACCTGTGTCATGCAGTACCTACGGAGGTCAGAAGAAGGTGTCAAATCCCCTTGAACTAAAGTTAGGATGGTTGTTAGGAAGGACCCGGGTCCTCTGAAAGAGTAATCAGTGCTCTTAACCGCTGAGCCAACTCTCCAGCCCTGATTTTAAAAGAATTTATGACATGGTTTATCTATTATGTATCTACTTATTATTTTTATTTCCTATGTATTAATGTTTTGCTTGCATGTATGTAAGTACATACCTGTCTGCCTGCCTGGTGCCTGAGGAGACCAGAAGAGGGTGTCAGATCCCCTGGTACTGGAATTAGAGACAGTTGTGTACCACCATGTGAGTGCTAGGAACTGGACCTGAATCTTCTGCAGGAGCAGCCAGTGCTCTGAACCACTGGGCCTTCTCTTCAGCTCTTGTTCTGACTTAGTTTGTTGTTTCATTTGTTTTTAAATTTTTCGCCCTGAAACTGGGGTCTTAATGTTTTGACCAGGCTAATCTTGAATTTGTTGTTTTAAGTGATCCCACTAAGTATCTGAGTCTACAGGTATATACCATTACCTGGCCTAAACTTTGTAGTTGTTCATTTACTATTTGAAAAAAATACTGTAAGAAAATGAAAAAAATTTTTTTTGGCATCAGTCTTATACATCTCAGGCTGGTCTCAAATTTCCTATGTAGTTAAGGATGACCCTCAACTCCTGATTCTCTTGTCTGTTATCTCCCAAGCTGGGATTTTGGGTATATATCACCACACTCACCTTGAAAAATAATATTTATTATAAGAGCTCAAACCTGGGGCTGGAGAGATGGCTTAATGGTTAAGAGCACTGACTGCTTTTTCAGAGGACTGGGATTTGGTTCCCTGTACCTATATGGCAACTTACAACTATCCACAACTCCAGTTCTGGGGGATGTAACACTCTCCTTTGGCCTCTGTGAGCATTGCACAACATGAATGCACTTACATATATGCAGGCAATACACTCATACACATAAAATAAAAGTGATGAATAAAATACTAAAAATATTAAAAAATGAAAACTCATCCAATTAAAATAGAAAATAAAAGTCCATTCTGTGTGACCATATATGTGTTTGTTACTGTTTTTTGAGACAGGGTCTTGCTGTACAGTCCAGACTGGCCTTGAATTTGTGTTATTTCCTTCTGACTGCCTCCCGAATGCTAGCATTAAAAGTGTGCACCACCCTGTCCAGCTATTCATACACTTTTAAACTTAATTTTTCTTATTTAAAAGATATCTAATATTGTTGTGTGTTTGTGTATATGATGTGTATGTATGTGTGAGTGTAGGTGTGTGCATGTCACAGTGTGCTTGTGGAAATCAGAGGACAGTTTTCAGGACTCAGTTCTCATTTTCCACTCTGGGTTCTGGGGATTGAACAGGGGTCATCAGGTTGTCAGGCTTGCGTGGCAGGTGCTTTTACCTGCTGAGCCATCTTGTCAGCCCTTAAACTTAATTTTCCACTCAAAGCTGTGTCTTGAATATCTTACCATGACCATATATAACCCGCTTCCTTTCTGTCATGGCTTTATTAGAATTCTATTGTATGCATGTGTTAGGATTTCAGTGTATACATTCTTTAATTAGTTCCTGACCTACTGTTTTGAATATTGGGCCAAAGTGTTAATACCTTAAAAAAACCTTTTCTCAGCCAGGCGTGGTGGCGCACGCCTTTAATCCCAGCACTTGGGAGGCAGAGGCAGGCAGATCTTTGTGAGTTCGAGGCCATCCTGGTCTACATAGTTCCAGGACAGCTGGGGCTACAGGGAGACCCTGTCTCAAAAAAGACCAAAAAAAAAAAAAAAAAAAAAACCTTTTCTCATTGCTCTTATATTTTTTTAAAGCGTGGCCCTCAGATGCCTTTGATATTCCTCTATGTGGTTGATACCTGCATGGAAGATGAAGATTTACAAGCACTGAAAGAATCCATGCAGATGTCATTAAGTCTTTTACCACCCACGGCTCTGGTTGGGCTTATTACTTTTGGGAGAATGGTGCAGGTTCATGAACTTGGATGTGAAGGAATTTCAAAAAGCTATGTTTTCAGAGGAACAAAAGATCTGTCTGCCAAACAACTACAGGTAAGGAAGGATGGTAGCTTTCAACCAGTTTGTGAATTATACATGTTAATAAATGCTTTCTGGGTGTATATTTCTTTAAAAATATGACTAATTCGTTTTATCAAAATTGTATTATAACAAAGCTTTAAATTTAGTATCAGTATCATTTTTGTTTCTTGTGTGATTTAGATGTCATATAAATTGAAGGTCATCTACTTTTTGTAGTATATCTTAGATATCTCTCCATGACCATACATATAACCTGTTTTATTTCTGTAATGACTTTATTAGAATTCCATTGTATGCATATATTAGGATTTCATTCTGTATATTGTTTATTGTATTCATGAGTGTTCAGGAGCATGTGTATGTGGGTACATGTGTGTTCATGTGGAGACCTTAGGGCATCCTCAGGTGTCGTTCTTCCTCAGGCACCATCTACAGCTTGACAACGCTAGGCTAGCCTAGCCTCAGAAACCCACATTCCTACCATTCCAGCAGTGGATTACAGCCTTGTACCAGTACTCCCAGATTTTTTTTTTGTTACTGTTGTTGTTGTTTAATGTGCATTGTGGGGATTGATCTCAGGTCCTCATGCTTGAGAGGCACACACTTTACTGATTAAGCTACAAGTACTTTACTAACTAAGCTGTTTCTATAGCCTATTTACTTTTAACTATATCTTCAAAATTTGAAGTGAGTCTTTTACTGGCTTTCACCTTATAGTCTTCTGCCTCAGTCTCCTGAGTGCTGAGTACAGGTTTGCCATCATGTTTGATTCTGAAGTTTTCTTTTAATAGGTTGCGGAGGTAAAGAAGGTGACAGTGTGGAATTTTGAGCTAGAACTGAATTAAAGATAATTCAGGAGAGGAATGCTTGAGTTTGTGTACATGGAAAGGAAAGACTAAGGCGGGTGAGTGAAAGCAAGAGATAAGCAAGTGAGGTTTCAGAGAGCATGGTGGGTTCCTGAAGGAGAACAGGAAGCACTGTACGTTGGAGGAGAGGATCGTCTGTGTTCATGAGGCTGGAGAGAAAGTAGGTATAGGTTGAGTAGCTCTCATCCCAAAATATTTAGACAGAAGAGTTTTAGGTTTTTGGACTTTGGGATTTTTGAAATATTTGCAGACACAGGTGTGTGGAGATGGAATACATTCTGAGAAATGTCATTAGACAATTTCATCACAGTGTGAACATAGAGTACTTACTTGCCAACCAAGAAACTATGGCATAAATAGGTGGTATAATATTCGGGGACCACCACTGTGTATGTGGTCCATTGTTGACTGAGATATCATTATGTGACATGTGACTATACATAAAGAGATATCTCTGGGATGAGACCCAAGTATAAGCAAGAAGTTAATCTATGTTTAATGTATAGATTATACAGTATGAATGTTTTGCCTGCATGTATGTAAGTGCACCAAGTGTGTACAAACCCTGCATAGGCCAGAAGAGTGCATTGGATCCCCTGGAACTGGAGTTATAGACTATTGTTAGCTAACCGAACCTGAGTTTTCAAGAGCAGTCAGTACTCTTAACCACCAAGCCATCTCTCTGGCCACCAGTGTACCTTGTTTTGACTGTAGGGCATCACTTGGGGTTAAGGGTAGAATTTTATTATACATTTTATAATACTCAGAAACTTGCAAGTTTTAGAGCATTTCAGATTCTTTTTTTTTTTTTTTTTGCATCGGTCACAGAAGCCTGTGCTTCCCAGTGGCCAAAGTTTGTTTGTTTGTTTTTTTTTTGTTTTTGTTTGTTTGTATGTTTTTTGCTTTTTGAGACAGGATCTCCCTGTAATCCCAGCTGACCTGAACTCACTATGTAGACCAGGCTGCCCTTGAACTCACAAAGATCCGCCAGCCTCTGCCTCCCAACTGCTGGGATTAAAGGCATGAGCCACCATGCTCAGCTTCAGATGGGTTTTTAAGACTAGAGATACTAGGGATAATTTGTGGTAATGATATCTACTTTTCAGGATGGTCATGAGAATAGATTTTGCCTTTGAATGTATGCTTTTATTACTATTAATAAATTATAAATTTGTTTAGAGTGGTTTGGTTCTCATTGTAGAGGACATAGCACTTATACAACTGTAGTATATAAAATAGGCAAGTGAATGGTTGCACTACATTTTTTTCTCATTGAAATGTTTTTTTTTTTTTTTTTTTTTGGTGGAGGTCAGAAGAGGGTATTAGATCCCCCAAAACTGGAGTCACAAATGATTGTTAGCCATCATGTGGGTCCTGAGAACTGAACCTGGGTCCTCTGCAAGAGCAGCCAGTGTTCTTAACCTCTTAGCCATCTCTCAGCCCCCTCTGTACTTCTTCATAATGCTGTAGTTATGATCCTACATTAATTTATTAGATAACTTTATTCCTTCTGGATTTTAACTGCCATGAGGGCAGGGAGTGTTTTTTGTTTGTTTGTTTGTTTTTAATCACTGCATTCCTCCTATATAGTAGGTACTTAAGACGGTAGTTGCTGAAAGGGGTTAGTGCATGTAAGTTAAGAAGTATGGACATTTACATTAAAGATTAATTTGACTGTTCATTAGATAAGAAGTACTTCTAAATTAGCATCCCTCCTCTTTACTCCATAATGTACACTTTCTTTCTCCTGGTGAACTGCTGCTCTTTCTCCCTCAGTGTCTACAACTGAACTATTTGCCTTCTGAGGAAAGATACCTTGTGTTGTTTATTTTTATGTTCCTAATTGTAGCTTAGCACCTTGAACATGGTAAATAGTTGATAAATATTTGTGGAGGTAAATAAATGAATCTCATTGAAATTATTTCTTTACAGGAAATGCTGGGGCTCTCTAAAGTACCAGTTACTCAAGCCACACGTGGTCCTCAGGTACAGCAGCCACCTCCTTCCAATAGGTAACTAATATAGCAAACAAAATTATATAATTCTTGCAGATACTTTAAATATATTATGCCCTTAAGCACAGGTATTTGTTGATACTTTAGCATTAAATGTTTTTAGTGACAGAAATACATTGCAATAATATAGGTTTTAAAGAGTAGAGGCAGAAATTTTTTTACTGAAATGGCTCATTTTTATCATTATGATGTAAAGAGTTTAGCTTTGATTTTTATTTGATTTGATTTTTATTTTTTAATTTATTTTTTATTTTTAAAAGTATTATATTTTTCACCCATGTTGTGCAGTGCCTATGGAGGCCAGAAGAGGGCATCAGATCCTCTGGAACTAGAATTACAATTGTTAGCCACATGTGGGTACTGGGAACCAAACCCAGAGCCACCAGCGCTCTGTTGCTGTGATAAAACACTGACCAAAACCAACTTGGAGAGAAAAAGGTTTGTTTATTTGGCTTATAGGTTACAGCCCATCATTGAGGGACCCCCGGGCAGGAGCTCAGGTAGAAATCTCTAGGAAGGAACTGAAGCATAAACAATGGAGGAATGCTTGGTACTGGCTGCTCCCTCTGGCTTGTTCAGCTACCTTTCTCATACATCCCAGGCCCACTTGCCCCCCTGGAACTGGAGTTACAGACAGTTGTTAGCTGCCATGTGGGTGCTGGGATTCGAACCCAGGACTTCTGCAAGAACATTCAGTGTTCTTAACCACTTAGCCATCTCTCCAGCCCCAATACATTTTTATTTTTAAATTCACAAACCTTAATTTTTCTGGCTTTAGGATAGCAAAAATAGGGCCTCAAAATCTTTTAATTTTAACTTTATTGTTACCTTTCTCTTAACCTAATCAGAGGAGATATTTCTAAATTTGAGTTGATTGATGTATCTTCTCATTATTTTGATAACCTTAGAACTTAGTAGATGAGGAAATGAAAGTTGAAGTCCTGCAGAAACAGCAAAAGAAAAAAATTATAGTATTGCATTGGTCCCAGGAGCAGTCGCACCATTGTCAGTGAAATGCATTTGGAATGTATATGCTTGAGCCACTCCAGTCCTGCTAGTACAAACTATAGAACTGTGGCCTAGTAATGTGTTTCTTGTTTTTCGGAGACAGACTCTCACATAGCCCAGGTTGGACTCAAACTTACATTGTTATTGAAAGTGATCTTGAACTACCGATCCTCCTACCTATACTTTTTTTGTTTTTTAAATATAATTTTAAATCTTTTTCTTTTTGCATTTTAAAAATTTTATGTGCATATTGCCTGTGTGTATATTAAGTGCTTTCATGTGTTGCAATGACTGCAGAGGCCAGAAGAGGGTGTCAGATAGCCTGAAACTGGAGTTAGAGACGGCTGTTAGCTGTCATATGGGTGCTGGGAGCCAAACCTCGGTCCTCTGTAAGCACAGCCAGTGCTCTTGACCATTGAACTGTCTCTCCAACTCCTTGTCTACACTTTCTGAGTGCTGGAATTATGGACTTGCTGCACTATGCCTGGCTAGTTTCTCTCTCCTCTCCCTCATCTTCCTCTCCCTTCTCTTCTCTTCCCTCTTCTCCTCTTTTTGCTTCCTCCTCTTTTTTCCTCCTTACCCCACACCCTGTATGTGTGTATATGTGTGTGTGTTGCGGTGGATCCAGCCCAGGGTCTAATACATGCTAAACAGTCAACTAACTGACCTACATCTAAAGTAGCAGTCTGTTTTCAAACAAGCCTTCCCATGGATTCTTTTGCTTGAAAGATTGTAAACTGTTGTTCTGCTGTGTATCCAAATATTTTTATGTGTTTTGGGGAAAAATTATTGAACCGTCACATTCATAAATGGATTTTTATTTAATTTTGTTTTGCAGATTCTTACAGCCTGTACAGAAGATAGATATGAATCTCACAGATCTTCTCGGAGAACTTCAACGAGACCCATGGCCTGTACCACAAGGAAAGAGACCTTTGCGTTCCTCAGGAGTAGCACTTTCCATAGCTGTAGGATTACTTGAGGTAGTGATGAATTTGTTTTGGAATGTAAAGAGAGAGAGAGAGAGAGAGAGAGAGAGAGAGAGAGAGAGAGAGAGAGAGAGAAATTGTAAGGATATGGTCATACAGTCGTGGTTGGTGTGCCCTCCCGTCTTTCCTCTTTTCTTACTCTTCTTCCTCCCTCTTCCATTTTTGTCATTTTTTTCATTGTTGTCATCTTTGCTATCTTCTTGTCATCTTTATCGTCTTTTTCATTTGGTCTTATTGTGTAGCCCAGTTAGTGCCATGCTGCTCTTGAACTAATAGTAATCCCCCTGTCTCAGCCTTCTGAGAGCTGGGATTATAGCTGTGTACCACCATGTTGACTTTTTCATTCTCATTCAGTAATTAAACTTTTTGAAAAGCTCTACACAGGAGGCAATTCTGTGGCAGAAATGAGCTCCATGTTCTATCAGTTCAGTTTTGACACTACTAGAAGCGGCATTGCAGCACAAATTAAAGGCTCCCTTCCATGTGCCTGTTGGTCATTTCAGAGACAAGCTACTGTACTTTGAGAAAATATATTTATTTGTATATTTATTATTTTTATGTTTATGTATATTAGTGTATTGCCTGAAGGCATGTAAGTACTCCCATGTCATGCAGTGCCTGGAGAAGTCAGAAGATGGTATCGGGTCCCCTGGAGTTAATGGACGATTATTAGGTGCTATGTGGGTGCCAGAAACCAAACTCAGGTCCTCTGCAAGAGCAGCCAGTGTCCTTAACACTGAGCCATCTCTCCAGTGCCTTATTTTATCTATCTATCTATCTATCTATCTATCTATCTATCTATCTATCTATCTATCATCCATTCATTCATTTATATTTTATTTATTTATTTATTTATTTTATTTATTCACAGCACTTAACCTTGTCAACATGTGCCTACATTTGAAAGCAATCCCTCTGGAATTTACTTATTTATTTATTATTTCATTTGTTTTTTGAGGCAGGGTCTCCCTGTAGCCTCAGCTGTCCTGGAACTCACTATGTAGACCAAGCTGGCCTTGAAATCACAGAGATCTGCCTGCCTCTGCCTCCTGAGTGCTGGGATTAAAGGCATGCACCACCATGCCCAGCCTCCTTATTTTATTTTGAAGTTATATGTATATGTGGGTGTCTCTGTGTGGGTATGTGCAGGTGCCTGTGGAGGTCAGAAGAGGGCATCAGATCCTCTGGAGCTGAGTTACAAGCTGTTGTAGGCAACCTGATGTGGGTGCTGAAAATTGAACCTGGGTCCTCTGTCAGATTTTCCCTCTATCTTTAGGAAGTCCAGGTAGACAGGAATTGAGTCTTCTTCGCTTGATTTCCATGTCAGCCTTTGCTTTTTATCCTTCTTTATTTCATTTTGATTCTCTTACTTCCTGCAGTGCTTCTCACAGAGTTTTTGTTTCAATCTGGTGGTTTTTGGCCTACTGCTGGCTTCTTTCTTCCTTTTACTTTTGTCGTCAGGCGAAGGCTTTGAGTAGGATAGATCACTGGGACTTTCTATGTTTTTACTTGTAAGAAATCTGAAATTTGGGATTTCTAGTTTTATGAAAATGTATGCTTTGATCTTACTCTTCATTGTTGTTTTGTCTTTACAAGATGTTACCTTAGATAACCAGAAAGAAAAGAATGTTTTTGTTTATTAAACAAGTTTTTTTTTTATTTTTAAAGATGTGTTTATTTGTTTTATGTAAGTGCCTACCTATATGTATGTATCATGTGCATGTCTGGTACCCAGGTGAGCCAGGAGCAGGGGTCAGAACCCGTGGAACTGGAGTTTCAGACAGTTGTTATCCACTATGTGGGTGCTAGGAACTGACCCAGCTCATCTGTAAGAGCAGAGAGTCCTCTTAATCTCTCCAGCCCCTATTAAACAAGCTTTAAGAAAGTTATAGGTTAGGCACACTTTGCAAAGACACAGAATACAAGGATGCATACAAGTCACTGTTAAAGGCAGCTTTTTGTCTCTTCCCATTTTTTTGTTCTTTTTACCTATGTAGCCTAGCATGGCCTTGAACTTGTAGTCCTTCTGCCTCAGCCTCTTAAGTGCTGGAATTGCTTGTGTGTGCCTCTTACTTGGCATAGGATTTAAAAAAATTTATTGCCAATCAAAGTTTTATATTATTTAGAATTTGTAAATGTAATTTATTATTTTTTTCTCTTTTTATCTTTTCTTTTTGTTTTTTGCTCTTTGTTATTTTTTTCTTTTAGATAGTAGTGTTTCTGTAGCTTGAGTTGGGTGGTAACTCATTATGTAACCCAGGCTGGCCTTGAACTGATGAGCTTACTTCCTCAGCTTTCTGAATACACCACTCCAGCACCAGAGTGGAGGTATTTTCAATATACTTACATAAATATTAACCACGTGAAGCATAGTGCATATAACAGGTGGAGAGAGTGTCTTATGGCATTTTGCTGCTTGTTGGGGACTTGATGTTACCAGTTCAAGGATACTTTGTCAGTGTTATTCTAGATGGCCTCATTTCCTCCTGATTATGCTCAGGAGTTCTTTTGTTATAAATTTTGAGAGTTCTTTCATATAAAGCATATTTAATTTTGCCCCTTCATGTCTCTGGAGAGTGAAGGTAGGGTGGCTCTGGACGTCTAGGCTCAGAATGGTCTTCACTTAGAAGTTTGACTCATTCCTCTCTAGGTAAGATTCATGTCGCTGGCTGCTGCTAACTTCATACAGTCTCATTTCTTTTTTAAAGGAAATTTACTTTTCCTTCTGGGCACTTTGAGAATGTTCTTTATTCTTTTCTTGCTAATTGTGCTTGCTTTTTGGTAGTCTCTTTCAGTCTTGTTACTCTTCAGCTTAGTTTTTGTTTTTTTTGTCTTTTTAATTTCGCTCATTAGGTAAATGCTAGATGTTAGAACTTTACGTATCTTTAGCTTCTCTCTCAAAGTTTCCTTCTTTGCTTCTGTTGGTGGGATGTTTCCTTAGCTTTATATTCTATGTCTCTCTGTTTTCAGACATGCTTTTCAGCTCAAACACTAATTGAAACATTTTCAATGCTTTTAATTCTAGAAACTTTTGATAGTTAATCATGGTCATCACCTGCTCCTGTATTTCCCAGCCTACAATTTTCATGCTAAGACCCTCCAGGCAGATGGTTTGCTTCCCACAGAGCAGCCCTCAGGAATTGTTGAGGCAGTACCTTGGCAGCAGTGGTGTCTGACAAGCTGCATCTTTTTTTTCTGTTGCTGCTTTTTGACTCCAAATAGGGACGACACACACACACTTACTCATATACATGACTATATATACTAAAATTTTTTTTTGATTATTTTGTCAATCCACTCCAACCTGAGTTCTTCAAAAATTTTTGTCTGCTGGGAACACTCTTTCTTATTCTTAAATTTCTTTTTATTTATTTTAAATTTTTTGTGGTCCTGGGGATTAACCCAGGACCTTGAGTATGCTGGGCAAGAGCTTCTCATGGAGCTCTATCTGCAGTTTGCTTCCTTAATTTTTAAAGTAATATCTTTTCTTCCATCTATTTATTTATCGAATTTATTTTGAGACAGGGCCTCCTGTAACTCAGGCTAGCCTTGAACTTGCTGTGTAGCCAAGGATGACTTAGAACTTCTGATCCTTCTTTTAGTTCCCAAGTGCTAAGATTACAGACATATAGCCCACACCTGGTTTTATGTGGGGCTGGGGACTGAACCAGGGCTTCGTGAATGATAGGCAAACACTCTACTAACTGTGGTGCCTTCCCCGCCCTAGCCATATTTAGTCTTTCAAACACAGAAAACAAAAGTAAAACAGCAAAACCCAAAAGGCATTGCCCCCACAACTCTCTTTCTCTTCCCCCTTCTCTCCCCTTCTCTATCTTGCTCTTTCCACAGCTGTGTGTAGAATTAACTAAGAAGGAAAAATATCCTTGTTATAGGGTTTAGGTTAAAAATAGGAATGCAATACTACTTAGAATAAGATTTTTTAAAAAATTTATTCAAATAAATGGCCATGTTTTTAGTCTTGTTAAGTAATTAGTAACAAATGTATGCTTTTTGCTACAAGCAATACATTGGAATTCATTATCAGAAATATACAGACCTGCTTTTCATTGTCTTCTAAACTCCCTTCATGAATTCCTTTTTTCCAACAGTGTACTTTTCCTAACACTGGTGCTCGTATAATGATGTTCATTGGTGGCCCTGCTACCCAGGGGCCTGGAATGGTGGTTGGAGATGAATTGAAGACACCTATAAGATCCTGGCATGACATTGAGAAAGACAATGCCAAATATGTCAAAAAGGGAACTAAGGTAATTTGTTTCTCAGTCTTTTAACCTCATTAACCTTACTAGAAAATATGGTCTTTTGATGGGAAAGGAAGAATACAAATACTTTTCAGTAGAAATCTGATGGGAAGTCTGATAATAGAATTACCAATCAAAATTCGAGAAACGCTCTTTTTCTTGATAAATTGTTTTTTTGGTTTGAAATGCTCAAAAACCTTAGTAGTAGGTCATGGTAGATAGCTCCTTAAAGACTATTCTTGAGAGGAACTCTTGGTGCCTGCTTATTTGTCCATTTATGAAGCATGTTTGTTTTCAGCAGAAGTTTCTGATTTTTTGTTTCTAAGAGGCATTGTGTAGGTTTTGCACATATGTGTTGTTCCTAGCTCAGGTGGTCCAGCTGTTTTCTTGTGAGTTTTCTGTTTGTCCGATTTCATATTTTCTAGCCTTGTGCTAAAAAGTATATTTCACTAATGATGATTCTGACTCTTACATATTGTTTTCTCTTGTTAACATCCTTATTAGCATTGTTTTTCAGTTCAGGCTTTTAGTTTAATTGTACTGCACTACTTCACATTTTTTAGGAAACTTTGTATTTTAATAATAATGAATGAAATAAGTTTTGACACTTGGTGAATGTTTTTTTGTCTGCTAATTAATTCCTCCCCCTTTTAATTTTATTTTTTAACTTGGTTTAAATGTAGGTGTCTCCGTTTGGGTATGTACATGTGAGAGCAGTGTCTGCAGAGGCCAAGAGGGCATCAGAGTCCTTGAAGCTGGAGTTCTAGGTGGTTGTGAGCCACCCAATGTGGGTGCTGGGAACCGAACTGGGTCCTCTGGAAGCGTGCTCTTAAACTGCTAAGTCATCTCTAGCCCCTAATTTCCCTTTTAGCTTGGAGTGTTTTTTGGCTACAGCTGCAAAAATGCTTTTGTTTGCTTATCTTTTGGTTTTGTCATTCTGTTTTCAGATGTGTTACCTGAATGTGCCCTTAGCTAGGGAAGAGTTGTGTTGTTCAACCTTGTTTGTGTATGAAAAAAAGGATGCTTAGTATGCCTTTCTTAAATTTTGCTTTGTTTAGGGGCTTAGAAATAGTAGCTTTTAAATCAAAGAATGTTAAAATGTCAGGCTCGTTTTTTTTTTTTAGTCAGAGTCTTGCTATATAGTCAAAATCATGAGCCTTCTGCCTTAGCCTCCCCAGTTCTGGAATTTCAGATGTATGCCTCATGACTGGCAGAAAATGTCAGACCTTTAGAAGTTACTGCATCATTTTTATGAAACATAGAAAATTAAATGAGAAAAATTCATATGTAAGTTATGATGAATTATTCTCTTACATTATTTTGATTTCTTATTAGGGAAAAGATTTATAGAATTGTGATTTTTATGTATTTGACTTAATTAAAAAATGTTTTTGTAGCACTTTGAAGCATTGGCTAATCGAGCTGCTACAACTGGGCATGTAATTGATATCTACGCATGTGCATTAGATCAGACAGGCCTCATGGAGATGAAATGCTGTCCTAATCTCACTGGGTATGTACTTTCATTTGTAGTTATCTGGTAATGACCGTTTACAACTATGAACTGATGATGACAGTTCAGGAAAATAAAAGATTCATTGAAGAGTGACGACACCTTCAAGGCAACATTTGATAGCAGGTTTTGTGGGTCTTCTGTGGAGCCCACTTTACATTTCTTAATTTTTAAAAATTTTTATTTATTATTTTTATTTTGGGCTGGAGAGATGGCTCAGCGGTTAAGAGCACTGGCTGTTCTTGCAGAAGACCTAGGTTCAAATCCCAGCACCCACATGGCAGCTCACAACTGTCTATAACTTCAGTTCTAGTGGATCTGATGCCCTCTTCTGTCCTCCGTGGGCATTGCACTTACATACATGCAAGCATAACACTCATAAACATAAAATAAAATAAAAATAAAGCGAAAATAAATAAATGAAGCCAAAAAATTTATTTTTATTTTATGTGTATGAGTGTATTGCCTGCATGTGTGTAAGTGCACCTGTGTCATGCAGTGCCTGTGGAGGTCAGAAGAAGGGATTGAATTCCCCTGGAGCTGGAGTTATGGATGGTTGTTAGCCGCCACGTGGGTTCTGGAGTCCTCTGCAAGAATAGCCAGTGCTTTTAACCACTGAGTCATGTCCCCAGCCCCTTATTTCTAAAATATAGAATTATTGGCTGGGGGTGATAGCACATACTTTAATCCAAGCTCTTGGGAGACAGAGGTGGGCAGGAGCTCTGTGAGTTTGAGGTCTACATAGCAAGTTCCAGGATAGCCATGGATGCATAATGTGACCCTGTTTTGGGAGACAAAAAAAAATCACAGAATTATAGTCACAGGTTCTTTTTTAAAACTTCATTTTTATATGCTGTCATTTTATTATTTTAGTAGTGTTTTAGCATAACATACCATGAAATTTACCCACTTAAAATGTATGATAAAAGGACTAGAGAGATGGATCAGCAGTTAAGAACACTGGTGACTTTTGCAGAGGACCCAGGTTCTGTTCCCAGCATCTACAGTTCTAGGGAATCTGGGGTCCTCCTTAGGTATTTCATGCACAGGTGTACTCACATGTAGGCAAAGCACTTACACATGGAAAATAAATAATTTAAAAAAGATTTCTTTTTCTATTCACAGTGTATATAGCTGTTGCCATCATCAAATTTAGAACATTTTCATGACCCTGAAGAGAAACTGTCTATTAGTTGTCACTTGCCATCCGTCTCCCCTTTCTGTCCCATCGTCTTAGCCCTAGGCAACCCCTTATGGCCTCTTCTGGATATTTCATGTGAATGGAATAATATAATAGTGTTTTGCAGTAACTTTCTTCATTCAGCATGTTTTTAAGCTCATGTATACTTACTGTGTAAGAATATTTCTTTTTGTTGCTGAATAAAAGTGAAGGAGGGATTCAGCTTCATTTAATGTTCTGTTATATGCGTACTTTACATGTGTAAACAGCTAAAACTCAGTAGGAAAAGCATTACCAGGACAGGCTGTGGTCAGTCGTGCAGATACTACAGATGCAAAATAGTGCAGAGTAAAGATTAAGCAGTTTAATACTAAAGGTCATTGAGAACTGAACTACAAACTATAGAAGTTGACCTGCAGTGACATAGCAAAACAACAGGAGAGACGTGGAAGCAACTGATGTAGACTAAAGCTTCTTAAGCTTCTCAGGCTTTACTGTGTATAAATAAATTAGGGTTCTTTTTTTCCCTCTCCTCCTTTTTCCCTTTCC